TTATTGTTGTTTGGCGGGTCCGGGCTGGATTCGAACCCGCCACCTTAGGTGTATGTGGCTGGCGTCTTAGCCGCTTGAGCCACAGGCGCCGAGCCGTGAAGTTTTAGTACAGTGCTTATTGTTACTGCCACAGCTCAGTCTGCTGATTGCCAGATCTTTCCTTAACAACACTACTGGGTCCTGAGCAGGAGGAGTCTGGGGGCTCCCAAGAGAACAGAGGGGAGGGTGGTTTGAAGGGAGAGGCAGGGGCCCTGCAGGTGGACTCTGCTAGCACCCCCATTTTGAGGGAACCTGCAGGGTAGGGTGAACTCACCAGTCTCAGCCACGAAGGTGATGGTGTCTGTCTGGGGCTGGAAGGGCCTGCTGAAGCCCAGCTGGATGGTGAAGAGCTGGCCACGGCGCAAGATGAGCCTCCTCAGCCCCATCTCCTTCGTGTGGTGCTCCTTGTTGTTCCTGGGACTCTGCAGGTCAATGGACCTGAGCTCCAAGGCAGCCACTAGGGAAGAGAGGGGGGCAAGTCACCTCCCACCTGCAACTCCCTGGGCTCAGGTGACCCCTGACACTTCTCAGTCATTTCTGTGGCTCCTGGCCCTGACTTGGGTAAGATTCCTGTCCAGTTTTTAGACCTTCTGCCAGTGTCCCTGATTTCATGAGTCAGTCTCAGGGGATGATTCAGCAGGCCCTGTCTAGGGAGTAGAAGGTTGATCCTGGCATCTTCCACACTTGGACCCGAAGGCACAGAGCTCAAGGATTGGGGTACCTGGAAGCAAACCGGTTCCAGATAACTGAAATTTAACCTGTGAAGTGCCGCCACATGCTCTTAACCACTTGTGCTGATGATCCTTTTTAGAGTTACTCTACCATCCTGCTGCTATAAGAATAAACAGACCAGGATTTTATATGAATTAAGTCAACAGGCTAACTGGAGGCTGGACCTTCAGCTGCAGGACAAGTCTTGTTTTAGGATACTAGGGTTACTGCGAGTTTTTCTTGTCCGCCATGTTCCATGTCCACAAGGAGGACGTTACCTGCTTCCTGGGCCATTGTCGTATGTATCCCCCTGGTGTATGGGCGTGAAGCTCTCATAGCACAGTGGGCAAGTGTGTGCAGGCTCTGGAGTGACACAGCTCCAGGCCTACTACCTTGGCTGTGAGATCTCTAGCAAGTCACTTGAAGTCCCTACACATCAGTGTCCTCTTCTGAAAAATAGAGAAACCTTTTTGCCTGGGGGGAGAGGCTGTTCCCCCTGACATCCAGCAGGTAGAGGCCAAGGAAAGCTGCTAAACAGCATCCCAGAGAACCTCATGTTTGCCCCCAGCCGGTTTTATGCCATTTGCCAAATGGTTCGCCAAATAGGTTATTTATTTTTGCATCTTTCCCACCTGTCTGGCTAAACTGCCTTCCATGTCTTCCTCCAAGTCACTGGTAATAAGATGGTTTTAAGCATTAGGGCTTAAGTTGGAGGCCAGTGGAGTATCACCAGAGCTTTCCTCCTGGTTAACACTGAGTTAAGAAATACTCTTTGGGGGGTGTAGTTGTGCAATAGCTATGACTACGTCTGCTTCTTTGAATGAAGAAGTCAAATTTAGGTGTTTTTGAATTTCCTCCACGGTCTAAAGTAAAATTCAGCTTTCATCCATTCAACTTTCCCAGAAATCCATCAAATGTATGGCTACAAACAGAATATTCCCAAAGGTCCCTTAATCCTCCTCCTAATAACAATCTTTCCTGAGGTAGAGTCATCAAAGGTGAATTATTGATTCAAATGGTACAAAGATTTTAGGCCTCTTGATGTCATTGGGGCATTTAAATAGATATGTTATTAGAACCAGAAAATTCAGGAAAAGATTTTAAACACCTTTGAGATTTAACAGCATTCTTGAAACTTTAAGTTCAACCCATTTAATAGTCTGTAAAATCAATTTAGATAAAGGTGGCAAATACTAAGAAAAATAGAATAGAATGGAAAACATCACAATTCATCACACATAGGAAGCACAAGGATGATTTTATGTGGAGCTGGGGCGTAAATTGTGAGTCATAATCAAAGTTGGAAAGCAGCTGGCCTAGATCCTGTTGGAAACTGGTTGCATCTCATTAAATGAGCCTGAAATTTTCCTACCAGGACTACTTAGCCTTCATGGAAAGCGTCTGCATCCCACCCTGAAAGGTCATAGACCCAAAAGAGGCGGTGGACAGCACAGGGGAGCCTTTCCACCCTCCACAGGAGGAAACAGGCCACCCGGAGCAGTCTTTTCCCAGCTGCTGTTCACAGCTCAAAGCCTAGTTCTAAGGGCAGCTGACTGAATTTTCCCTTTACCCAGGGTCCTCCTGGTTGGGGAAAGAAAGGGGAGGAGGAAGCAGGAAGATGTTTTCCTCTCTAGATGCCCAAGGAGGCAGTGCATGGAGGAAACGCATTTTCCCTTGGACACTCAGGTTTCGTTCATTATTCACTTAGTATAATTAGTCATTTGGTTCACTGAAGAGCTCTTCATGTCAAGGAGATAATGACTTAAAACAATAAAAGGAAGGGCTTTTAAGGGAACAGGAAAAGAAAGCCAAAAAGATCAGGAAGAGCTTCAACAAAGCAGGAAATCAAGCATACAAGTTACTAAAAACATGTCAGCACTCACAAAGCCTTCTTTTTTTTTTTTTTTTTTTTTTTTTGACAGAGCCTCAAGCTGTCACCCTGGGTAGAGTGCCATGGCATCACAGCTCACAGCAACCTCCAGCTCTTGGGCTTAAGTAGTTCTCGTGCCTCAGCCTCCCAAGTAGCTGGGACTATAGGTGCCCACCACAAGCCTGGCTATTTTTTTGTTGTAGTATGGCCGGGGCTGGGTTCGAACCCACCCCCCTCAGCATATGGGGCCAGTGCCCTACTCACTGAGCCATAGGCGCTGCCCGAGGTCTTTTTGTTTTGTTTTGTTTTGTTTTGAGACAGAGTCTCATTCTGTGCCCCGTGTAGTGTGCTATGGTGACATAGCTCACAGCAACCTCAAACTTTTGGGCTTGAGCAATCCTCTTGCCTCAGCCTCCCTAGTAGCTGGGACTATGGGCGTCTGCCACAACACCTGGCCGGTTTTTCTGTTTTAGTAGAGATGGGGTTTCACTCTTGCCCAGACTGGTCTTGAGCTCAGACTCCTGAGCTCAGGCAATCCACCCTCCTCGGCCTCCCAGAGTGCTAGCATTACAGGCATGAGCCACTGTGCCTGGCCAGTCCATGAGATATTAAAAAGAAAAATAAAAAAGACTAAATCAGTGGGTTATAGATTATCTTTAGGTGGCGAAGTTAGGGGGAATTTTTCCTTTTTTTTTTTTTTTTGTATTTTCCAATCTTTTGCTTTGAACGCAGTTCCTTTTGTATTTGATTAAAGGCAGGTTTTGTACAGGAGTGGCAGGATCAAAGCTGTACTTAAGGATTAATTTGGCTGTGATGTTCAGCCCAGATTGGAGGAAAAAAAGACAAGGGTGGGAAAGGCAGTGAGAGCTCCGTGGAAATGATCCAGGCCAAAGTTTAACCTAAATACAGGTGTTGGTAGGAGGAAAAGAAGGACCACCCTCCGTTCTGCAAGGCACTGGCATCCCTGGGCATGTGGCGAGCTAATAAATACGTGTTGAAATTGCTTGACTGGTAGGGCTGCCGAAGGACCCAGCTATATGGATGAAGCCTGGGGTGCCAGTAAGGTCTTTGGCACTCAGGCAGATGGTGAAGGACTGGCAACCTCCCAGTGGAGACAGCAAAGGCTAAGTTGGTCCCGTTGCTGCTGGCAGAGAGCTCTGGCACCTGCTGCCAAATGCCAGATGGACTCAGCTCCTTCCCTTTTCCTGCCCTTGTTCCTACATTTATTCCAGCTTCTTTTTTTATCCCTCTTCCTATTATTATGGTTGGTTTGAGGACTTTTGCAGATATTTTGTTCTTTTTCATTTTTTCCCTTTGAAAAAACGTGAAAAAGTACAAACTATGTGAGCACATGTGAAGAGATTCCTCTGTGATGAGGTTATTACAGTATCCTATGCCTCTTTAGGCGTAGAAGAATTAAAAAAGTCTTCTTACTTAAAAATTCAAGTCCCAATTCCTTAGCCGAGCAGTCAAAGTGTGGTCCAACATATCCATCTAATCTTTTATTTATTTATTTATTTTTAGACAGTCTTACTATGTCGCCCTCCATAGAGTGCGGCATCACAGCTCACAGCAACCTCCAACTCCTGAGCTTAGGCGATTCTCTTGCCTCAGCCTCCTGAGTAGGTGGGACCATAGGCGCCCACCACAATGTCTGGCTATTTTATTGCAGTTTGGCCGGGGCTGGGTTCGAACCCACTACCCTAGGTATATGTGGCTGGCACCCCACCCACTAAGCCACAGGCACCACCCATATCCATCCAATCTTATCTCCCAATTGCCCATAATACTTAGCCCAGCTTTATGTATAGCCATAGCCACACATAGCCCAGCATATCCAACCAATCTTATCTCCCCATAGCCCATAAACTCTGCCTCACTTGTGTTGTGACCTCTAAACAGGTGACCCCTGGTTGACCCCGGCCCTATACCTGGTCTTCATTCATGTCCTCCATGAAGTCCTCCCCATGAGTACTCCCATTTCAGAACATGGGGGTATCTTAGCATCTGCAACAACACTTTTATATCTAGCTGATATTTACTGAGGGTTGTTAAGCTCCAGGGTTTATGTATCATCTCCTTCAATCCCTATAACTCCTCAATGAAATATTATCAACCTCATATTGTAAGTGTGTAGAAAGATGGCCACTGAGGTTAAGTAACTTGCCCAGTGTCACCTAGCTAGCAAATGCCAAAACTGACATTTAAACCCCTAGACAGTTTGACTCTATATGTTTTAGCCAGTGGAAGCAGGGGGTTATATACCAACTTCAGTGACACTAATGCTAAGTTCTGATAACCCATTAACATTGGACTAGGCACATTTTGATTCTACAACCTAGCCCTTGACCTCTGGCTGGTGGTACTCATCTGGAGGTTTTCAAGCTTTTTCTCCACAATTGAGTGGATATTATGCTTTCTTCAACTCAAAGCATAATAAACACACCTCAGAGGAGCTGCTCTCCGGTGGAAGAACTAGGCAGAGGTTCTGCCCATTCCCAGGCTTTTCTGCAGAGCCCTAGCCGTCCCAAGTACATGAGGAAAGCCACAGCTTCAACTCAGCCTCCTCATTCTAAGATGCCTAAGGGGGCAAAAGCCCTCAGGTCGCTCAGCAGATAGGGACAGAACCAGCTGCAGGACCCACCAGATCTGTCTTCCTACTCTGCAATTTCTTAGACTCTGAGGTATTATTCAGTTAATCACATCCTAGATCAGCAGTTCTCAACCTGTGGGTCGTGACCCACAGGAACTGTATTAAAGGGCTGTGGCATTAGGAAGGTTGAGAACCATTGTCCTATACTATGT